CCGCGGGCTCAGGCCATCCACTCACCTCAGCCTCCCAAAGGCGCGGGATGACAGGCTGAGCCACCGAGCCCGGCTGAAGAATGTCTTGGTGATTCAGGCTGCCTGCACACACAAGAGGCTTGCTCACTGTTGCTGGAGTTCATTCAAGTAGAAGCCGAATGCCTGCTGTATCTTAGGAAAATTCAGGCTTCCAGTGGGCAACTTCATAGTCCTTTTTAGCCACTGGAGACTGTAGCCCCTCCCATGGCCACCAGCAGAGCCAGAAGACCCAATTTCTCGTCCCTGGGTGCCATCCTCACTCTCTGTTGGTCTTTGACCTCCCTCCCCTTTGCCCTCCTTCCTCTGCCCGCCATTCTTCTCCACTGCACACCCTTAGACTTAGCTAGGAAGGTAAACACTGGCGGCTTTCCCTGCTACCTAGGCAGATGCCAGCCCCAAACGTCCTCCCTAGCTGAGACCTCCATGATGTGGAAGTGGCCAGGGCCCTCATGTAGGCCAGGTGGGAGCCTGGAGCAGGCTCTGAAGCTGCCAAGCCCAGCTGCCCTGGGCCCCAGAGGCTCCGGCCAGTCTGACAGTGTTCTTCTTGGCACTGCTCAGAGGTGAGTGTGGCTGAGTTTAGCAACTCCCCTGACGGGAAGCTAGGGGTTTCCTCTCCTCCACCCTGCTCTCTCTAAGCAGACAGCTAGGATCTTGTTCTGGCCCCAGGACCAGCTCTGTGACCAAGAACAGGTCACTCTGCTTCCCTGCATGGTGGCTGTCTGCTAAAGTGTGGGGTTGGCCTGACGTGGGTGAGTGAGTCTCCTTTCAGCGCTGACCTTTAATGAATCTATCCCTGGCCTGCCCTCTTCCCTCTTCTCCTCGGGCCATTGGACAGTGGCATTGTGGAGGGCCTCAGTGGTTCGGCCTCCACTGCTGTGTAAGCCTTCAGTCTTTGTGATAGGAAGCCAAGGTGGAAGTGACGGAAGTTGGGATAGACAGGGTGTCCAAATGAAAGGTCGAGGGAAGGGGCTTGTCTTGACTTCATCACACCCTAGCTAGGTAACCTTGGGCAAGCGACTTAACTCTTCTTTGCCTCAGTTTCTTCATGTGGAAAGAGGAATAACAACAGGATTCGCTCTGCTGGGCTATTGTGAGAATTTAACGAGATAACTGAAAATAGCTGATCTTTAAAAATCTCTTCAGGAGAGGGAGAAAACACATTTATTGCTGTTTATCAGGGGTCAGGCGTCATTCTAAGTGGTCTGTGTGTATTTTCTCATTTAATTTTTACAACTCTGGAGGAGTTACTATTATTAATGTGAAACCCATCTTACAGATGAAGAAACAGGCATAGTGAGGTGACGTGATCAGTGGTAGTCTCTGGTGCGGACAGTCTAGTGGTGAGGCCCCCAGAGAACTAGCCTGGGACCTGTGGTGTCCCCAGCAGGCAGGCCTACTGGTGAATCCTCTGAAACCAGAAGCCTGAAAGGGCGGGGCAGCGAGTGCAGGAGGGAGACTCTGAGTCAACCACCCGCTGAACTGGACCGGAACCCTGGAGTTCTGGTGGCTCATCCAAGGCTAACCCTTCTCCCTCTGACTCACCTTTCACCCTGTGGCCGCCACAGCCCCTTGATCTGGGAAGGGATCTGTTTGCCCTGATGCTTAGTGGAAGGAGGGAGGGGTAGCTGTGTGGCCAGGCAAAGGGCAGGCCCTGCATAGCTAGTTCCCAGGCTCAGTCTGTTGTTAGAGCTGGCAGTGGGCTCAGAGGTCGGCCTGGCCCACCCCACCTCATTTCACAGGTGTGCTCTGAGAAGGTGAAGGGACAGGTCATGGTGACATCATGGTTTGTGGCCCACCTGGGGCTTCTGCCCACCAAAGCCTTTCCTGCCAGCACCTCCTGGGTCCTGTTCAGCCAGTCACTGAGTACTGCCACCTGACAGTGGACTTCCGAGAGGCCTAGGGTGTTGAGATGATGGCAGTAATGACAGACAACTCTACTCCAAAGGTGACCTGCCTTACACACCTTCATGCAGGACGCCGTTCTCTTTGTGGAGTCCAAGGGTGTTTGTCCAAGGGTGTTTTCGAAGAGGGCAGGTGTAGAAAGAGGGAGCCTCTTGCTTCAGGGAGGAAGGCCTGGTCTCTCTGTCTTTCTCTCTCTCTTTCATCTTATTAAGGGGATTCACATATTACAACCACTTATGATTACTTTCCCACACTTACATAAGCATTTTCTAAACTGTTCTCATCTCGGTGTCTTAAGCTCACGACCTCCGTCTCACTGCTCTCCCTGTTCCCTCACCCTTGCATTTCTTCAGGGGTTCTGTCCCATGCAGGCTCTCCACTACTGCCCTGCTCCTGGTGCTCTGGTCTGATGCTCTGCCTTACACCCTCACTGTTGGGAAGGACTTTCTTCTTCCCAGCCTGACATTCTTGCTCTGCTTCTGTTCCATCTACTCTGGAGAGATGAAGAATAGCTTTCCTCAAAATAACTCACTTAGAGGCCTGGCTTGCTATTTGATCCTTCCCAGCCCTCCCTGCCACCTTCCCCTCTCTGAATTATCCCAGTTGTCATAAGAGAGTACAAGAGAAGAGATAAGACAATCCTTTATCTGATCCCTGAACTGTGAGGGTGCCCTAAAAAGAGAGGCCAGTCTCTTACTTCCAGCAGAGGCCCTGAGGGTGCCTAGTGACCTGGATCTGGGGGAGTCCTCCCTGGGGGTCCTAAAGGTCTGCCCCGGGAGATGTTCTAGGAGAGGTGGTGGCCCTGTCAAGGGACCTAGAATCTGTCAGGGCATGTCCTTCCAGAGACACGGGAGCCCTCAGAGGAGCTCCTTCTTTTTTTTTTTTTTGAGTTGGAGTCTCACTCAGTCACCCAGACTAGAGTGCAGTGGCTGCTCCCGGCCATTGCAGCCTCAACCTGTTGGGCTCAGATGGTCCTTCTGCCTCTGCCTTCCAAGTAGTTGGAACCACCGGTGTGCACCACCATGCCTGGCTAATTTACTTATTTATTTATTGTCAAGACCCAACCTAGTTGCCCAGACTGGGTCTGAACTCCTGGGCTCAGGCAACTCTCTTGCCTCTACCTCCCAAAGTGCTGGGATGACAGGCATGAGCCACTATGCCCAGCATCCTTCTTAGCTCTTCAAGCCTCCATCTCTGCTCCCTCAGAGGGAAGCACCAGGCCTGGAGGATACGGATGGGCAGAGGCGGCATATGAGCACCACACAGCATCAACAACATGGATGCAGGGTCCGGAAGGTCTCCGTTCTGGTTATGCCCCTAGCCTGCTCGTTCTGTGATCCTGGGGAGTCACTTCACTGTTCTGGGCCTTGATTCTCTCATCTGAAATGCGCATTTGGGGCTGTATGACCTCGAAGTCCCTTCTAGCTATGGCTCTGGGGCTCCCTCTTCCTGGTTCCATAGCTCTCCCCGGGCAGTGGGGCTCTTCCAGCTGCAGGGTAGGTATTCACTTAATCTATGGCCCGACTCCTCAGCTGTTTCTGCTCCCACTAGCCTCTGTCCTCGAGGGAAGACAGGCAGAAACCACGGGGATTCCAGAGGCCCTGGGATTCCAAACGTCTGCCTCCCCTTCCGGGGGGCTTCAAGGCGCTGCATTCACCGCCACTCCCTGGCAAGGCTAGAGAGCAGCCGCCATCACAGGCTGGCACATGCCTTTCTGATGCGCTGTTACTCGAAGGAACCAGAAAGTCCTGTCTCTTTCGTGCAGCTTCCCAGCCCCCAGTGGCCGGCCTTGCGCGCCCACTTGCCCAGGCCTCAGGCTTCCCCGGCTCAGCCTGTCCCTGGTCCTCAGTGTGCGGGTCCCTTCCCTCGGAGCTTGGTGGATCCGCCACTGGGGCTAGTGTGTTTTCCTCCTCCTCCTCCTTCTCAACACTCTCCCCTTAGAGCCTTGGCTCTGCCCCAGCCCTGGCCTTCAGGCCTGGCATTCCTGCCAGCTGCCGCGGGGGCAGGGCTGACCCTTTCAAAGGGTCCCAGCTGGCCCTGTTAGTCAGCAGGAGGCTGTGCTGGGGCCACCGGGCATCTTCCCTGGCTCTGTTGCCAGGCCACCAACACTGGAAGGTTTTCTTAAACGAGAACAGGGAGTTCCCAGGCTCCCTGGTTCCTTACCCCTCACATGACTGACGCTTGCAGCTCCTCAGGGCTCCTAAACTAGCTCCTCCTCCTGAATGGCCAGGAGGCTGCCAGTGAGGACAGGCCTACGGACAGAAAGCTGGCACGAAGGCGGGAGGGACAGGGGCTGAGCTGATGGGGAGGTGACCTGTGGACGGCAGATGACAGGCCGTGACCTAGAACGAGCCTGGACTGGGCTGAAAGGGCTGGTAGGCTGGCTGAGTGGGTTCTGGGGACTCATGACTGCTTTTCTTATTTCCCATTTCAGGTCCCAGCAGCTGGGGTTTCCCCTCAGCCCTTGAGCGGCCATGTCTAACCCCAGTGCCCCTCCTCCGTATGAGGACCGCAACCCCCTGTACCCGGGCCCTCCGCCTGCGGGCGGCTACGGGCAGCCATCCGTCCTGCCCGGTGGGTACCCTGCCTACCCTGCCTACCCACAGCCTGGCTATGGTCACCCTGCTGGCTACCCGCAGCCTATGCCCCCCATCCACCCGATGCCCATGAACTATGGTGAGTCTTGAAAGGGCAGATGGAGGGTGGGTGGGAGGGACAGCACTCGGAGCAGATGAGGCCACCTACTCTCGTCCCTCTCCTCTTCAATTTGGCTTTACTCCCCTTTCCTGTCTCTCTATTAAGATTTCTCCCTCCATTTCCTGTCTTGGTTAGTCCCCTACATTTTTCTCTAGCACCTGCCACCCCCAGCCGTCTGCTAGCCCCTTTGTTCAGCAAGGAGACCAAGCCCAGGAGACATGCCAGAACATGTACATCACAGGAGAAAGCAGCTGGGTGAAGTAATGGCTCTGAGCAGTTACCTTAGGAGACTGTTTATATCTCCCAACAAGGCCGCTGTCACCCATTAGACCTGATGTCTTCCTGCCTTTGGAACCTGACATAATTTTTTTTTGTTGAGTTGGGAGTCTCACTCTGTTGCCCAGGTTGGAGTGCTGTAGCATGCTCACGGTCACCGCAACCTCACCCTGCTGGGCTCAGGCGATCCTTCCGCCTAAGCCTTTCAAGTAGCTGGAATTACAGGCATGCACCATGTCCGGCTATAAAATCTGACTTTTGCATACACCCAAGAAGCCCTTGAAACCAAGTTTGGTAAACATGGGAGAGGGGTTGAAGAAGTGTGTGAGCCGGGCTTGGTGGCTCAGCCTGTAATCCCAGCACTTTGGGAGGCTGAGGTAAGTGGATTGCCTAAGCCCGCGGGTTCGAGACCCGCCTGGGCAACTTGACGAGACCTAATCTCTACAACAACAACAACAAAAAATTAGCTGGGCGTTGGAGTGCGCGCCTGTAGTTCCAGCTACTTGGAAGGCTGAGGCAGAAGGATCGCTGGAGCCCAGCAGGTCGAGGCT